ATAGGTCCAACATCTTAGTTTCATAAAAAACATTTAATAAAAATCCTTTTTTTTTTAATAAAAATAAAGCATAATCATTCAGTCTGTGCGCGCACACACAAAAAACAAGAACAGGACAACTGTTTCAGAGGGGAATAATTCTTGGAATGGATCATGGAATCTTTCTCATTTTCTTTTCTTGTTGGTTTGTAGCAAATTTTTTTTTTTTTTAGGCCAATTGGAACAATCTATTTTTTGGAGCGGGGGCGGAGGCAGGGGGCAGCCCTTGGTGACAAGCAGACTGAGGCACTGCCGCCGGTGGCGGGGTGGAGGCAGCAGCTGCACACCGGGGCAGGATGTGCTTGATGGCCTCGGTCTGCTTTGCGAAGTTCTCCACCGCGTTGCCAAACAGGCCGGTCTGGGACACGTGGGCGTTCAAGAACCAGATCTTGTCGGTCTCCCTCATGTCAGCCAGATATGGCACTCCTGGACCACCATAGTGGACATCGCTTGACCGAGAGACCCGAACAGTGACCTTAGTCGCACAAAGCGCGAGGTCAGTAGCAGTACAGAGTTCTTTGAGAACTTCCGGGTCGTGACCCCCCTCATGCAGGTCCTTCAGTGCCTTGGCCTGATGAAACTGCAATAACGCCATGGCGTGTAAGGCAGAGGCAGCTTCTCCGCAGGCCACATAAGCACTGCCAGTCAGGGCTGACGAGTACCTACAGGCCCGAGAGGGGAGTGATGGCTTGCCCCGCCAGGTGGCAGCGGTATTTGGACACAATTGCATCGCAACCGACCACTCCACAGGAGGGACTTCCGTATACCCCCGCGCTGCCTCAACCTCGAGGGTGGAGGAGCCACCGGAGTGGTTTCTGGCAGTGAAATGTGCCGTCCACGACCCAGTAAGCTCCTCATACACTTCCAGAAAGAAAGGCACTGGGGTGGGGCCCTGAGAACAAGCGCGAGCCACCCTGAGAAACCAAGGTTGAAGGTTCGGGACACGGTGGAGGCTTCCACTCAAGCCTACCCCTCTCGGCGGTCCGGGCAAGCATAGCCACCATTTCTGGATCCTAATCCGGCACTGCTGGCCGCCCCTAAGGTGGCAGCGCCGCCGGATCATCATCTCCCGAAAAGTCTGGCTTACCCTCCGATGCACCGATCGACATCCAATCGTCAGGGGGAGAGCTGAAGGTACCCCATGGAAGGGTCCAGCCTGTTCCTTGGGCAGCTCCACTGGTTACAAAGTGCCGGTGGAAGGAGGAGCCCTCGGAGGTTGGTTCCTCAGAGGGGAATTCCTCACCATCACCGTAAGACCAGCCAGGCGACTGCCAGAAGTAGCGCCCCTCCCTGGCTTTTGCCAGGAGGAACTCTAGATCTAGGCAGAGGCACTGGAACCCCACCCCTTTGCAGAAAACATAGCCTGGTCTGCAACTCCGCGACAGTCATTCTCCTCTCTTCTCTGCCATCTACCTCCTCCCACTTACCCCATTCCATTATTCTCTTCCTTCTCTCCCCTTACGAAGAATGAGTTCTCAAAATTTCTCTTTCCCACCGCATTTAACAGGCTCAGGTAACCCCGCTCCTCAAAAAGCCAACACTTACCCCACAGTAGTTGAAAATTACAGACCAGTCTCTCTTCTGCTTTTTCTGTCTAAAATACTTGAAAGGGTTGTGTTCAATCAGCTCTCAGCAATTCTTTCACAGAACAACTTACTTGACAACAACCAGTCTGGCTTCAAAAGCGGACACTCCATGGAGACACACCTTTCTGCGGCCTTTGACATTGTTAACCACATGATCCTTCTGGCCACCCTCTCTGACTTGGGCATCACAGGTATGGTACTTCAGTGGTTTCAGTCATACCTCATACCTTTCAGAGGAGGGGTGTCTAAGTCACACCAGCTAATCACTGGGGTGTCTCAAGGTTCAGTGCTTGCTCTTCTTCTTTTCTCCATTTACACAACCTCACTGGGCACGAACATAAAGGCACATGGCTTCTCCTACCACTGCTACACAAATGATGCACAGCTCTATCTTTAATTTAAACCTGATGATCACGCTGTCTCAGCTCATATCTCCGCCTTCCTTTCAGCCATCTCTACTTGGATGAAGGATGAAGGAAGACAGAGGGTAGTGTTTGATGACCAGCTGAGGTTTTCCTCCCATAACTCAACAAAGTCCCGGTCGTGCAGGTTTGCCTTTTACAACATCAGGAAAATCAGTCACTTCATGTCAGAATATGTGGCTCAGCTACTACAATTTCAAGACTGGACTACTGTAATGCTCCACTGGTGGACCTTCCAACCAGCTCAACTAAGCCTTTGCAGATGATTCAGAACATGGCAGCATGTCTAGTCCTCACTTAGCCAATGAGGTCCCATGTCACACCTCTCCTGATCTCACTCCACTTGCTCCCAGTTGTGGCCAGAATCAAATTTAAAGTTCTGGTGCTAATGGCTTTTAGGACTGGAACAGATCCTCTCTACTTCAACTCACTACTAAATGTGTGCTCCCTCCTGCCAGCTCAGGTTACTGAATAAGCGACATCTTTTTGTTTCCTCACAATGAGGCAAAATATCACTCTCCATAACTTTCACCCTTTCTGTTCCTATCTGGTAGAACTCCACCTGAACCGCTGCAACCATCACATCTTTCAAATACACCATCTTCCAGCAGCTGAATGCACACCTCTTCTGCAAGCACTTAACCACCCCAGGGTGCATTTCCCAAAAGCAACTATCGTTGCAAGTTCCGTTGTTACCAATAATGGAACCTGCGACCATATTTAGCTAATGATGCCTTTAGGAAATACACCCCCACACTCTTAATCCAATGCGCGCACACACACACACACTTCTCCAGATGGTTTCCTAATCTAGTTGTCTCATAAATCTGGCATTGCGTACTACTACATGAATTTCAATTTCAATTTAATCAACACTTTTTTTAAAGTCTCTTCGGATAAAAGTGTCTGCTAAATGTATACATGTGAATGTATTGAAAATATTTGCATGTGCTTCAATCTATGCATCTATGTATAAATTGGCAATTAGCCCTGGTCTCCCCTGTATGCAAACAATTACAGTTAATCATTATTAATTACTTTAAATAATTAATAAAATATATTATTATAGGTCCAACATCTTAGTTTCATAAAAAACATTTAATAAAAATCCTTTTTTTTTAAATAAAAATAAAGCATAATCATTCAGTCTGTGCGCGCGCACACAAAAAACAAGAACAGGACAACTGTTTCAGAGGGGAATAATTCTTGGAATGGATCATGGAATCTTTCTCATTTTCTTTTCTTGTTGGTTTGTAGCAAATTTTTTTTTTTTTTAGGCCAATTGGAACAATCTATTTTTTCCCTTTATATTCCTCTTGCTCACCCCCATTCCAATATCTTTATTGATTAGCAAACATGCAGCTGTTAGAAATCCATTTTACACACAAAGAACTGAAAAATACATCCATAGATTTTTCAATTTACAAACAGTAATAAAGTCAAAATCTATTTATGCTAGATGTATGACGTACTAATGTGGTGTAGTACAAATGATCAAAATCCACTCTTTAAATTCATACAGTCCTGAGTCCTTCTATTAGACTCATGTACAAAACCAACATTAAGACCTGCCAGACCTTATACGGGTTACTGAGAAACTGAATCGTTGTGGAGACTGAGAATATGTACAATCGATTGGAAAGCGTGGGGAAAACAGGTTTATCACTGAATGTTTGGATTGAAACGGCTTAGTAACGTGCTATTAAAGGTCACATCAACAGTATATATAAAGTTTCGAAGTTTTACACTGGTCCTCCATTAAAAAGGAACTATAAACATATCTTAATTGTTTTAGCAAAGTATGTAAATATGATTAAAAAAATATACATTCGTACATATATTTTCTTTTTTCCCCCAAATGAACACGCATACAGATGCCAGCATGCTATTGGATCATATTTAGTTCCAGAAATGGTACTTTTTTGACCCATTTCTGGAGGACCAGGCTTTTGAAAGGAGTGGAGTGTCAAAAATGAGAAAAAAAAAGAATTGTTTTAGCAAAGTATGTAAATATGATTAAAAAAATATACATTCGTACATATTTCTTTTTTCCCCCAAATGAACACGCATACAGATGCCAGCATGCTATTGGATCATATTTAGTTCCAGAAATGGTACTTTTTTGACCCATTTCTGGAGGACCAGGCTTTTGAAAGGAGTGGAGTGTCAAAAATGAGAAAAAAAAATTATTCTTCAAAGTATGGTGTAATTATATAAGACTGTGTTTCAAAGATGAGAAAACCCCCTCCTCCCCTGATGTTTAGTTTAAGTCATACGGCCACTTAAATAAGCCTCTAAAAGTCATGAATGTGATTCGTTCAGCAATTCATTAATTCTAACGGCTAAAATAATGAAGAGAACAGTCATTACTACAGCAACCATTTACAAAATATACACGAAAAAAGAAAAAAAAATACAAATCTCATAAAACGTCACCTGCACACTGACGATTATAAGGCGTAAATGAAGTGTAAATCAATTCTGAATACATTCACAACACCTCTGTTCATATGCTACCTCAGTTAACAATAATAATTTTCTCTGACCCTCATCCAAAGCTCTTTTTGGTTTTGGAACCATCACCTACATGTAAGAAATAAATATGAACAGTCGGACACACTGACCAAAATGAAGTATGCCACATATATCTTCTATAGAGTCTATATTTACAGGAAGTGGCACATTAATCTTGAGAAGAAGGAAAAATAATCCATCTGGAGATATATACTGCCCAAACTTTAGAAAGCAGATACAAGAGTGTTTTGAAAGGGTTTGACATCATTAGGGCATATTGTTTCTTCACAATGGAAAGCGATGCCAAATGAGTGCGTCCATTGGGAGAATTTCTACCACAGGCCAAAGTGGCACAAAGTGCAGATGAGGTTTCATGTTAAATCATACACTGAACTAGAAAAATGGGCAAAACAACTTAGGTATACATATAATAAATATGAACAGTCGGACACACTGACCAAAATGAAGTATGCCACATATATCTTCTATAGAGTCTATATTTACAGGAAGTGGCACATTAATCTTGAGAAGAAGGAAAAATAATCCATCTGGAGATATATACTGCCCAAACTTTAGAAAGCAGATACAAGAGTGTTTTGAAAGGGTTTGACATCATTAGGGCATATTGTTTCTTCACAATGGAAAGCGATGCCTTTAATGGGAACGATGCCAAATGAGTGCGTCCATTGGGAGAATTTCTACCACAGGCCAAAGTGGCACAAAGTGCAGATGAGGTTTCATGTTAAATCATACACTGAACTAGAAAAATGGGCAAAACAACTTAGGTATACATATATAAAAAAAAAAAATTCACAGTAGTCACAAATGTTGTGAGTTACTGATATCTGGTCATGCACAGTGAAACAAAATGTTCCCTAGCTGAAACATTTTGCAATCTCAGCAAAAGTGAGAGTTTGATATATAATGCAGAGATTTCAGAGTGACAGAAACACTGCAAGTCCCCACAGACGTCTCACATTCTCTTATATTCTCGTGTACGGAGAATGCCGTTAGACTTTTCATTTTTTCCACCTCTCAAAATACTGAAAACCATCTTAAAAAAAGAATGAAAGTCTCATTCAATCAAATATACTTAAATTAGAATTCACAAACAGAAACTAAAAATGAGAGTCCTTGAACAAAAAGCGGTGTCGTTTCCCCTTTTTCATCGCCTCCATGAGCGGCTCTCGTATTCATCATCTTCATCTTCATCTTCTTCCTCTTCCTCTGGAAGCAGAAAGGGGCTGACTGGATCCTAGAAGTGTGAGCAAAGATTAATATAAACATTAAACATATTAGAACACTTCTTTAGAAATGTAATATTCATGCTGGTTTCATATGGAAAAACCTTTATACCACATGATGGGTTTTTTTTTCTTAAAGGGGTCCTATTATGCGAAGGATGCAGAGATATTTGTATTGCAAAAAAAAAAAAGAAAAAAAAATTGCAATGAATGAAACATTTATTAGTGCCATGCCTTTATGAATTTAAGACTTTCTGCTTCGACTTTCGATGCCTTCATTTGTGGAAGGGCGAATTGAGAATTTTTAAGACCCGCAGGAACCCTAAATCCAAGTACATTTTTTTTTATATAATACCAGTCAAGAAGTTTATATACACCTACTCATTTTATTTTATTACTATTGTTCACATTTTAAAAGAACAAGAAAGCCATCAAAACTATAATAACAATGAAAGTATGGGAATGGTGTAGTGAGAGCTTCTAAACTTTCAAAAAGTACTCTTTGAGAAATTGGTCATAATGAAGAAGTTTTCATACCACATTGACAGATTTGTTCTTTTTTTTAGGCAATTTTGTTCAGCCTCTCAGAAAACAAGACTTTATTTCCTCATTTTTAATCTAAGGATGCAGAGAAATTTGTATTGCAAAAAAAAAAAAAGAAAAAAAATTGCAATGAATGAAACATTTATTAGTGCCATGCCTTTATGAATTTAAGACTTTCTGCTTCGACTTTCGATGCCTTCATTTGTGGAAGGGTGAATTGAGAATTTTTAAGACCCGCAGGAACCCTAAATCTAAGTACATTTTTTTTATATATAATACCAGTCAAGAAGTTTATATACACCTACTCATTTTATTTTATTACTATTGTTCACATTTTAAAAGAACAAGAAAGCCATCAAAACTATAACAACAATGAAAGTATGGGAATGGTGTAGTGAGAGCTTCTAAACTTTCAAAAAGTACTAGATTTTGAAACTTGCCTAACCTTTACCCTGACTGCAAATAAAAAAATGATAAGTTACAGAGTGACAAAAGCCACACCACATGCTGGTCATTTCTCTTTCATGCCCTGACTGAACAGACTTTCAGCTAGTGTAGTTTCTTCTGTTCGCTCTCTTCCATTAATTGTCTTCCCTCGATCTTTCTCTCATTTCTTACATGGGAGCCGATCAAACTTTAATGGAATGAGAAGCATGAGAAGCATCAGCGTGTGGAGAGGGATGCGTGTTGTTTAGGGACGGGTCCTTGGGGTTTGGGAAGTGCTCAGAGTTAAATGTGCATGAGATGAAGTGTAATGACATGCATATTTCACACCAGCTAATTTAAGCCCAGTGCCAGCCGTGACGCTTCTGTTGTCACTCTTGTTTTAGGAACGCTTATGTTAGGACTGAGAGTGAGACTGTGTTTGGGTGAAATGGATTATGCTGGTTGTGGGTGTGTACATCTGTCTCTTTTGTTTAGGAGGAAAAAAAAAAAAACCTCTTAGCAACTACAGGGCTCCAGACTAACATTTGAGAGCCAAGCTCTACAGATGGTGTCACAGCACCTGATTTGGGAGCAGCAAAATAATAATTAATAATATTACTTATTACATGTTTTGTCTCTTGGAATGGCACATTTGAAAGAGGCTTGAGTTGACAGTAGCAGCAGTTTGAGCTGGGATGTGGATGTAAATGTATATATTAATAATATAATACAATTTGATATGAGTTTCTCTGTATTTCTGTTACAATACCAGTCTTATGTTAACTGCATTGCTGTGGCACAAGGTTTCTCCTGTTTCTAGCGTCAGTTTGTTGAGAATGTAAGGGCTGATTCATCTGGCTTTAAACTGTTTTAAATGAGAGACATTGGTGCTTTGCAAGAACTCTACAGTGAATTTGAATACTTCTCCCTGGATCTCACAGAGCTGTTTAATAATGGCTGCGTGATCTGTAGCGAATCGATGCGTTTTTGTAAGAAAAATATCCATATTTAAAATGTAATAATCACTTTAATGTAGCTTGCGCCAACAGTTGTACACGGAAGCAGTTCCGGGCAGATGAAGTATGAGGTAGGCTTTGTGCATGCGCCGCTCAGAAGTGACGAACGCGGAAACGCAGCGGAGAGATCAAAACAAAACAACGGTCACTAATTAGAAGTACAAAACGAGGATTTGTAAAGAAGAATGTCGGAGGATTTCGATATAGGCCAAGAGGAGACTGGTTTTCCTTTGCTAAAGTAAGGAAACTTTGCTTCCTTTGCTCCTGGTAACAAATGTTGGTTTTCACGAGACTCACCGGCGCATGCGCAGCGCTGACCTCATACTTCATCCTCCCGGAGCTGCTTCCCTTTACAACAGTGAGCGCAAGCTACATTAAAGTGATTATTACATTTTGAATATGGATATTTTCCTTACAAAAATGCATCAATTCGCTACAGAAGGCCTTTGTTCACCCCCCGGAGCCGTGTGAGACTTTTTTTTTATTTTTATGGATGGGCGCTTTTTATTTCACTTCTTTTGGACTGATGCATGCAACACCCGCCGAGTGCCATGAAACAGCTTGAAAGATCAAAGACAATTTTTTAAATAACTCCGACTGGATTCATCTGAAAGAAGAAAGTCATATACACCTAGCATGACTTGAGGGTGAGTAATTTATGAGCTAATTTTCATTTTTGGATGAACTAAACTTTTAATTATCACGGAAACGGTGACAGGCTTCATGCAAACTATAATTTCTTTCTTTTAATTCAAAAACTTTCTGGTTAGACCAACACAGGATTTAGTGCGTGTGCGCATTTAGAGTGCATTCTTTCACTGCATGATTCAGTCTATTAATAATATGCATTAAGAATGATCACATAACTCAAGATAAGGAGGCAGAAAATGTATATATTTATATATCAATTCATATAGTTAATCAATATCACACGAAGAGTGCCGTTTTTTTCTTAAAAAATCAGCATGGTTACAAATGTGATATTTATTTTATACAACAGTTCAATAAACAATAAATTCATATCAAGAAACTTACGTTTTAGACACTATATTGGCTGTTTTTATGCTATTTATGTGCTATTTCGCCAACAAAAAAACATTTATGCATTTGTAACTGCAGTTTAAAGCACTCCATGTCCCTCTAAGCTGCATTAACATGTGTAAATACATCTAAATGCCACTTCATACGCAACTTCTGCGAAGATGAATTTTATTGATACTGATTTAATTTGTTTAGTAACAGCCAAACTGTATTATTATTATAATTGACTGATTAAATGTAAGAATTTGACTCAAAAGATGATGTACACCTTTAGAAAAAAATGGCTTTATAAAAGGTAAGAATGCCCATACAAGTTAAAAATCAATTTAAACTTATTGGAAAATATTAATTTTTATCACTGCTGTGAACTGACCACACAGAATATGAAGAATATCAAAAACTTTAGGAGTCAGCTGTCCACGGTATCCTTAAGATATCAGCACAATAACACACTCAGCAAAATATCGTCTAAGTATCTTTATCGATAAAAATCACAGAAAATATTGAGATTATTTTTTGTCAATATCACACACCCCTAATACCGACAAAATGATTTGCAACGGTCGCTTTGTCACGCCCAGTGTAGACAGCCTCAAACTGTTGGTGTATTTCTGTCTTTTTTTTTTGGCTAGTAGAAGTTATGAATGGCCGGTAACTTAAAAATTTAGTAGCCAAATTGGCTGGTGAGTGAAAGTTAATTTCAATCCCTGCATACAATGTATTTTTGGCTATTGCTACAAATATACCCCAGCGACTTAACACTTTTGTCTTTTGTGCTCCAGGGTCACATATAGTATGTACATGTAGTTAATTAATATTACTCGGTAATTAAAATGTATAATTACACTATAAAAAGACACCTTAAAATAAAGTGTAACCAGAGATTTATACTTTACAGAGAAACTTCTTGATTCAAACCTATTATTATTATATTTTTTAAAATAAAATAAAATAGGAAGTATCAATAAAAAGGAAGTAAACATTGTAACCAACAGTGCACACTGGAGAGAATTTTTTATATATATATATATGTGTGTGTGTGTGTGTGTGTGTGTGTGTGAGTGCAAGTGTCCAAAATTTTAGCTTTTTATAGATAAACATATTTCGTTTTATTCTTCATACCTTTTGACATTCAATCTGTTTTTCAAGCATTTCTTGTTTCTTCTTCCTCATGTCTTGCTGCAGTTTCAATGCCTCCTGAAGGTCAGAGGTCACATTAGCTCACTCATAAGTACATTCCAGACTGTGCAATCCAAGCAGGTGGAACTGCTGCTATCAGCTTACAGAGGTGAGAAGGAGAAAGGAAATACTCACCTGCTTCTTTTTCAAAACCTCCTGAGCTTCCAGTGCTTTGCCCGTTTTTCCCAATGATTTTGATGCGGTTTTCAACACTGTGCGCAAGAACGGACCCTTCTGTAAACTTGAAGGTGGCATCAAACCCTTGTTTGACAGAGAATTTAAAACAAGTGCCGATTATGAACATATTACATTTGTATAAACACACACACACACACACCCGCTTTACTGCTCTCATGCTTACAATTTTAACATTTTAAAATGTAATTTATTCCGGTGATGCACAGCTGAATTTTCAGCATCTTTACTAAAGTCTTCAGTGTCACATGATCCTTCAGATATCATTCTAACATGCCGATTTGCTGATCAAAAAACATTTATTATGTTGAAAAATGTTTTTGCTGCTTAATATTTTTGTGATCATGATACACAACCATTCAAAAAATTACTTATATTCAGAAAGGACACGTTAATTTGATCAAAACATTTGTGATGTTGCAAAACATTTCATACAAGATTTCGATTTCATATGTGGTTCTTTTGAACATCAAAGAATCCTTAAAAAACAAACCACCAAACAAAAACACGTATCAGCGCTTAAAAAATATTAAGAAGCAAAACCTCTTTAACATTGATAAGAATAGTTCCTCTGTAATAACTGAGCACCGGTAATAATTGATAATACTTGAGCAGCAAATCAGCATATTAAAATGATTTCTAAACGATCATGTGACACTGAAGACTGTGGTAATGTCTGCTGAAAATTCAGCTTTGCCATCACAAGAATAAATAATATTTTAAAACATTCAAATAGAAAAAAAGTTATTTTAAATTGCAATAAAATGTCACTATTACGTTTTTATTGTATTTTTGATCAAATAAATATGGCCTTGGTGAATATGAAAGACTAATAATAATAATAATTCTTATTCCAAACTTTCACCTGGTAGTGCATATACACATGAAACTATAAGCGGACACTGGGGAAGACATTCAAATGCGCTTTATGATGGTGCTGGGCGGTATGACCAAAAATGTATATCACGGTATTTTTCTAAATTATACCGGTTTCATGGTACATGACGGTATTTTTTTTTTTCATGCATGACCGGGTGTTTTTTATTGTATATAGTGTTCATATTTTCTACTGATTGAGAGAGGAAATACTGCAGTATATTGACTTAGAATGCTCTATTTTACTGTCATGATGAGTGAATATTGTCAAAAAATACTACAATAAATAGTGACTAAATACGACCCCTTTTAATACATGTTAACCAGGAGTCACTCTCATTTATAATCGCGGCATCGTCTGATAAAATCAACATGCATCTACACTAAAGAGCGGCTATGTGGTTGTTTTGGCTAGATTACTTTTTTGTCTCATGCAGCACTGTCTGCGTCTGAGTAACAGTCTCATGCAGCGCACTGCCTGCGTCTGATTAACAAACTAAAAAAATACAACAAAAAAAAGTGCATGTAATATTAACAGACGAACTACGCTCATATTTATAATTCCAAACAATCAGTAAGCGACAGGTGCTAGGAAACGCTGTTTTGTACTCATTTGAGGAGTCGCTGCGGTGCTTCTCTGCCGCTCACTGCACAGAACAGACGCCGAGAGAGGCGACACTTCTCGGGGAAAGTCAGACCTCGCGTTCGCGGAACAGCACTGGCGAAATCCTCCAACTGAACCATAGCTAAGGTTTATCCAAAAAAGTCGCTAGGTTTGTCAGTATGAATATTCTATGGTGAAAGCCGCTAAAAGGGTCTGAAAGTTGCTAAATCTAGTGCTAAAGTCGCGCTCGTGTGTGTGTGCGTGTGTGTGTGTGAGAGACGCGGGAGCTGATGGTAGGGGCGGTGGATATTTGTGGCGGTGGATAATTTCAAACAGTGTCGCATTCCGAACGTTAAGTGACATACACCGGTATTATGGTATTTAAAAAATTCATATCATAACAAAAATAAACACCGGTATTCGGTATGAACCGGTATACCG